TTTTTTTATTTTCACCTTTCATGTTTTAAATTTTTTGTAGTTTACTCTCAATGGTAATGTGTTGTTTGGCAATATGTGTTTTAATAACTTTTTGATTTTTTGATAAAATATGAGAAAAATAATAATTTATGTTCAAAATTAAATAAAAAATATCACGTTACATAAAAATATTGTAATATAAGGGTTTAGGTTTGTGTCAAAGATGCGAGTTATTTATAATAAAATATGTTTATACCATATTATTGTCAATATGTTATTTTTTGTCTAATTTTGAACATAAGTTATCTTTTGAAATAAATTGAGTAAGCTTGAAATATACAATATGAGAAAAAATAAATTTTAAAGGTCAAAGTAAAAAAAATAAATTAATTGAACTCAACTCGTCATCAATAAAAATTTGATAGAAATAAGCTCGCTATATAAAATAAAATAAAACATATTTTGAAGCTCACAACTTATTATTTAACTTAATTCGATTTATTTACAACCTTATTCAATAATAAATCTGATAATTATTAAATAGGAAGAGTATTCTTAAAAAAAGAAGGTGTACCAATATTTCTATCAAATGAAACCTCAATTGTTGGCTTAGTGACTGGAGGCCTCTTGAGACCACAAATCGCAGTGAAATATGTTTTGAAAGGATTCTTTGGACTGTAGAAATTTAATCTAGTGTACGAAAATTGGCCTAGAACACCCTATATTAAAAAATAAAATAAAAAATTAACATGTGTAATTCAAGTAAGTAAAAATTAAAAAAACAAATTAATATCACAATATGTGTATTTGTAAGATTTTTTTTTTTTTAACTCAAAGTCAACGTTTCGAGTGTCATCCATCTAAAAATATTAGTATCTTATTTTATGTTTTATTATCCTAAATTATTAATCCCTTTTAAAAAACTAAGGACTAGCATGAATTCTTATTTTACCCTTTTCTTAAATTTATTAACTCAAAAAGTATAATTATGACAATTGATATTAAAAAAAATTGTATTATTTTAATTTTAAATCAAAGGGTAGTTTTGGAAAGTTAATCATATATTTTTTAAGTGTAATAATTGTACTACCAAAAAAAAGCTAAATTTTTCAAAAGGAAACAATATTTTGAGACGGAAAGAATATAATTTTTTGTTTTAAATAGAAAAAAAAAAGCACCTCCACCCAATATTTTAAATTTTTGTGACACTTCAACAATTATATTTTGTCATCAAGCATGAACTCTACCCGGTGTGCTTAAAGTTGAGGGTAATTCTATTTCCACACACTAATTTCACTTAGTTCACACACTTATGAAATTTTTTATTAATATAATTTTAGGGAAAATCGGTCTAAGGTCCCTATCCAACTTTTAGTAATGGATTAGGTCCACAATCTGTTCTTTTGTAGTCTAAGGTCCCTCACCCCATTCCCTCTCTCTTTCTACTCACTTTCTCTCTCTACATGGGCTCTCTGTTTCTGCTTCACATTCAAATGGCCAAGACCAACAAGGTCTCCAGGTGAGTTTAGCATTTTGATGTGGTAATGGAACTGCATGGAAATTATTTCTGGTGACATTGGTATACTAAATTCCCTCTGAACAGGTGGTTCTCGCATTGGGCATTCATCAACTTAATTTTAAAAGGTCTTTTGATTCCTGTGTTTCCCTCGTTCAGGCTCGATGTTAAGTTAACCAGGTTTTGGTTGTTCTAATTTTATTATTTGACATTTTTATAATGTATTTAGTGAACTTGGTGCTCAAATCTTGGATTTTGTATGTGATGATGGGCGTGTAGACTGCAACGACTTGCTAACTTCCATTACAGGTTCTTCTTCTTCTTCTATCTTCGTCCTTTATGCATGTGCTAATCAGGCAGCATTTAATAGACAAATATAACCAAGTTTGTCAAGAAATATATTTATTTATAACTTTAAATTCTTTTGCATGAAAAATTTATATTCTGAATGCCTCAGAATTGCTGTTGCATTCAATGTCAACATGGTAGTTGGGAGGCCACTATTTGGCAATTGAAGTAATCTGGACTTGGAAATAGTGATGTGAATCATGCGATAAGTGTACATCTCTATAGTTCCTAGATGAATCAAGAAGAAGAGGGCTCCACTTTGAGGGTCATGTTAATTACATGAGGTATTTACATCCTATGAGGTCAATAGGAAGGCATCATCAGCCTACTTCCTTGAAAAGCATCCTAGTGGATATATGAAGGAAGCAAACAAAAAATTATTTTGGAGAACTAAGATTTGTCATGTAATTCTTTACTGTAGTGCTAGATTAAGTTTTAAGATGCATGTGGATTTTTTTGTTTTATCTTTACTGTGGTAGCTGCTAATCAAGATATTAGTGAATTGGACTGAATTTTCTCTGGGTTGATCCAGAGAAATTCTCTGGTTTGAACTGAATTTTCTCTGGGTTGATCCATAGAAATTCTCTGGTTTAGATTGAACTAGTCCTCAAGTGTTGTCTAGAGAAATTTGACATTTTCTCTGTGAATTTTCTCTGGTTTGGAAATCATGTTTTTTGAATCTTTAGTATGTATAAAGGTGTAATGATGTCATGCTGAGAATTGAATTCATTTTATAACCCATAGATTTCTTCTTTCAGTGCTCTAATTCATTTGAATTCTTTTTTCTTTTTTTTTTTCCGTTGATTAAAATTTCTTTACAAAGTTGCTCATTTTATTCCCCCAAACGAAAACCACATGTGATTTAAGGCAATTATTGACAAGATATTCCAGTGTTTAAATCACCAGAAAATACTCCGATTTGCACCATTTTTGGGAATTGGATGAGACATTTGCAAAACATAGAAAATCAAAAAAATTGAACAAATCAGAGAAATGAAATTTCTCTGGATGGAAATTTCTCTGGATAGATTTTCTCTGGACCTGCAGAAATTTTTCAAAAAATATTACAAACCAGAGAAATTCTCAATTGTTATTTTTAATAAACCAAATAAATTCTCAATTGATATTTCAATAACAAACTAGAGAAATACTCAGATTTTTCAAGAGTTTCTCTGGTTCTGGTAAGTTGCCATTGTTATCCCATTCTAATGTTGCTTACATATTACAATGTGAAATTTTTCTAGTTGAATTCAGTTGAATAATGTTGCTTACCTAATGAATCACAATGATTTGGATGTGAGTGAGAAGAAAAGTAGAGAAACTCATCCAGAGAAATTTGGTTCAGAGAAATTTCTCTGAGCCATAATTTCTCTGACCAATTTTCTCTGCACTGAAATTTCTCTGGAACAAATTTCTCTGGACCAATTTTCTCTAGACTGAAATTTCTCTGGATCAAGGTTGAGGGACCTTAGATATTATGAAAATATTGTTGAGGGACCTTAGACATTATGAAAATATTTGGTGTCCTTTATGCTATAAAATCATAATACCAGGGACCTTAAAAAAAAAAACCCATAATTTTATCCTAAAATAAAAATACTATAATACTCTTATCTTCTTCTACTCAAATCCTATTTAAAAACACCACAACCATCCTCTATCGCCAGCGCCACCTCTCTTATTCGCCATCCCCTCCAGTGGCTTATTTTCTTATCCGCTTGCAATCACTTTCCGCTATAAACCATACACTCCTACAAGTCTCTCACCATGAATCACTCAATGTTGACTGTGGAGGTCTAGAATGAAGGGGGATGAGCTAGAAGTAGCGATGGTGGTGGTGATAGAGGGTTAAAAGCGGCGGCAATGACAGATGAGTGGATGAATGGGGGAAAAAAAAATTAGATTCTATTTGGTATAGTTTTAGAAAAGTTTTCAAAAATAAATTTTAAAAAACTTCTTATTTCAATATGGTTTCATCTTTTTAGGGGCAAAAAAATTTTAAATGTTAAAAATAATTTTTTTGGTATTTATTTTTGTCAAATTAATTTATATTTTTCTCATAAAAATTTCAAAAAATTGATTAAAAAAATATTGAAACCAAACATAGGCTTAGGGTTTTAAAATTGAAAATGAGGGTAATATAATAATATAGATATGTGTATTGAGAATTTATATTTTTATAATTTGTGTATTGAGAAAGTGTTCATTAAGTGTGTAGTAAGAGGAATTAGTTTGTGAAAATAGAATTATCCTAAAGTTGACCCTTCCTGCCAATTTTAACATGAAGACCCCTTGATGTATTTTTTTTTTCTTTTTATTTTTTTCTTTTCTTTTATTTTGTCTTCAAATAAAAGCAACGGTATAATTTTGTACATATTTGTGGTTGTGAAATGGTTCAAAATTTTAAAATAATATAATAACAGATTTTAGAGATCATTTATGTCATATCTAAATCTTTAAAAAAATTCATCATACCAAATTTTAAAGATTTGGATAAAAATGTTCAAAGAGACACGTTACACCATAGCATTGGACACGGAGGATAAGATGAATAAAAAAAAAAGGGGGGGAAAATTATAGAGAAAAAAAAAATAATTACAAAAATATATAAAATACAAGTAATTTTTATAATAAGATACAAAGGAAATGCTGTGGGATCTAAGGCTACATGTTTGTGTTTAAAAACATTAGGTAACTCCCCATAAAAAAATCTATTTGTACATAAAATAATAATGGTGTTATTATATATATACCAATCAGTATATTAATTGATGTATTAATATATGTATAATATTGTTACTTATATAAAATAATAATGGTGTTATTATATATATATCAATCAGTATATCGATTGATGTATTAATATATGTATAATATTGTTACTTATATAAATTATAAAGATTTGTAATCTTTAAAATTATGCCGTATTATCTATTGGACATGTGGATAGTTTTATTTATAAAATAATGAATAATATTATATGTACTAATTAATATACACATTAATATGTTAACAAATGATATAATATTATTTATAAAATTTTAAATATTATATTTAATAATAATATCTTAATACTAATTTATATTAATTGATAGACCGTAAAATAATTGATTAGATAAGCACACATAACTTTTTCCGAACGAAATGATACACCAAACTTTTCACCTTACATTTATCTATTTTTTCTGAAGTCTCTCTGTCTCTCTTTCTCTCTCTCTCTCTTCGTTTTCTTTTTTGTTTTCTGGATTACCTATTACTTTTGCACTGAAAAACAACCCTAACCATAATTCTCAAGCTTTCCGAGTTCATTTCTGAACTCCTCACAGATCAGATCACAACGTCCTTTTTCGACGATCGATTACGGATTCATCAGATCTATTTTCTATTCTAATTCGGTAATTATCTCGATTTCATCTCTTTTGTTTTTGAATCGCTTATTTTTTTGGTTCAATTTGATCCTTTTTTTTATTAAGTTATGATGATTAGGCAATAGCTTTTTCTTTCTCTTTTTCTTTTTTTGATTTTTTTCTTTCTGAAAATCTGTTTAGAATTAGGGGCCTGTTTGGATGCCAAGAAAATTTATTTGTTCCTGCACTGGTTCTCGAATTTTGGCTCCAAATTAGCGGATGTGTTATTCCGTCAATTATAGTATTTGAATGGTTTGTGTTGATTTTTTATGGGTGGGGTTCATATGTCTTGGAGGTCAGGAATTGAGGGTTTTATAGTATAACATTGCACTTTTTGACAGATTTGATGGATCATATGAATATAATGGTCTGTTAGGTTGGGCTGAGTACTGAGTAATTATTGGATATCTTGGAGGGTATTGCCAAGTGGGTACATTCCTGGAACACGATTGCCTTACACGGTGTGCGCACATCACATTTATATTTGTGTTTGCCTGTGATTGATTTGCGATACACATAGCAATGCCACGCGGCGCCCTACCCATACCCGAATAATTTGTCATTAGTACTTTATTCTAGTAACAAAATTGGGATATTTTGCAAGATTATGAAAATGTTTGGCACTAGATGACGACTCATTGATCTTAGACTGATTTGGGATGTGCACATGGTATTGATTTTTTTTTTTGCTTGTTTATATTATATGTATAATTTATATATATGTGTTTGTGTTAAAGGGAAAACATACATTTTTCATGGTCAATCAGTGTCACCATCATGCCCCTAGTTTGGACTAGTGTAACCTTCCTAACAATCCTCATGAAGGGAATGAGTTTGGATTAATGTACCTACTAGTGTTGTATACAATATACTTGTAAGTCGTAGCAATATAGTGCCACATTGTTGCTAAGTTTGTGTGAAATGTGAAAAGTTTCAGCTTGTTATCTTTACTAATTTGAGTTTTCTGACTTTTGTTTTTTTGTTTTTGGTTAATCCAACAGGAACCATGTCTCGTGCACGGACTTACCATTCACAAGGTGGCCCTTACCTTGGTGGGTGTAGGTCCTCTTTCAATAGAAATCACTCCACCACCAACAATTTAAATAATTATAACGGCAATGGAAACTGCATAAGGAAGTACAACAATGTCCATGACTATTCACAGAAATTTAAGGAGTATAACTATCACATTAATTATGTTAAGCATGACGCTGCACCTTCTTTGAAAAGGAGAAAATTTTCGGCTTCAACTTGGGAAGACTGTGGGAGACATTATCAACCAGAAGCACATAATAATGGCCCTCCTACACGCGACAACAATTTAGTCCTTCCTGTTGCTTCTAGACCAGATCCCAATGCTTACACTTCTGCCACCAGTAAACGTGATCGCTCAACGTTTGAGGTTGATGATGAGGCCTTTATGTCGAGGGATGAGATTGAGAGATGCTCTCCATCCAGGAAAGATGGTATTGATGTGCTGCATGAAACGCACTTGCGCTATTCATATTGTGCTTTCCTCCAGAATCTTGGATTGCGATTGGATATGTAAGCTCTTCGTGTGCACGTACATATTTAATATATTTCAGAAGCTAGGGTGTCTATGTAGCCAGTGTATTTGAATAATTGTGAGCAGTAGTTTTTTTATTGTGTCCATAGAGTCCTAATGAAACCTTATTCTATTTCTGGACTTGCTTGCAGGCCTCAAACCACTATTGGCACTGCAATGGTTTTGTGCCACCGTTTTTTTGTTCGAAGGTCTCATGCTTGCCACGATAGATTTGTGAGTTTCTCATCTTTATTTCTTACCTTTTGCAAAATCTCTGTGAACTTATTCTGTTGGATGCTATTGAGGATTTTCAAAGCATATTCATTTTCTTTGCAGAATATCCAGGTACAGTTTGTCTTGTATTGTGTTTTATTCTTGCATATGTGACCTTTCTCAAAAACCAAAATGTACTTGGTTGTTTTCATTTTTTAAAACTGATTTCCCAGAAAAATGAATTTTTTTTGAATTTTTTTTGTTATTGAACATTTTGTTGTTCGTGTTTTTGAAAATATGAAAAACGAAAATGTAATAAAAAATAACTAAACAGATCCCTTTAGAGGTGGATGATTTAGCCATTCCTATGCAAAATGTATAAATTACTTATTAAAAAACCATTAATTGTTGATATATATGTGCAAATTTTCATTCTACTATTGTAAGTTAGTGGAAGTTGATAGGGGATCACATTGGGATGACAGCTAGTTGATTTTGTCATTAAGATGCTATTTACTTGTATTTTATCCTATCATCCATTGGCTGATATGTGCTTTGTATATATATACTAGTTTAAAAAAGCCCATGCTATTATTATAGGATCTTTAAATTTTGAATTTTGATAATTTTTAAAAATAAAAATATTATTCTGTGAAATTGAATATAATAAATTATTAGATATATGATAGAATTATATAATTTGTATAAATAATAGCAATTAGGAAAAATATAATAAGTCCTATCATTTTAACATAATTATACTCTTTTCTTTTTCAGTAAGACTAAAATAACCAAAATTATTGCAGAGGGTGTGAAGAAACAAAGATAAACAAAATAAAATATACATTTTAGTATAAAAGAGGTTAAAAAAAATATATTTTACATCTATATGACTAATGAATTACTAATGAAAATTGAGCCAAGTGTTCTGTAACTTAAAATTTTAAAGGAGTCCAATATAATTATATCAAATTTGCGTAAGTTAATATATTTTTAACACTCAAGTGTTTGTTCATGACCACTTGTGCTATTGTCTAAATCCATATCAACTCCAAATAGTCACCAAACTAATTATTCGATAATTTTTTTGTTTTATATAAGGTTAGTTCATTTTGTTATTCAATACTTATTCGATGTGGTGAGTTTCATCAGTAATGTTTAATTCATTGAAATGAAAGTGGAATGGTATCATGAATTAACATGTTAATTCTCCCATATGATGAAAAATACATTAAAAATGGATTCTTATTCACTATTATAAGGAAATGGTCATTTTATCTGAAAACTATTGAATGATCATTCAACTTTCATTAATTGCGACTTATGATTTTGAAACTTATATGTCACCCTTTCAAATTTTTAATCACAGAACAAATGACCTATTTCATTAAACAACCAATAAGTCAATTAATAGTTTTTAATGATATCATAAATATATTTTAATTAACAGTTTGGTGATTTTATTATTGTATAGGAGAGTAATTAGGAGTTTTATTTTTTCTGTTAAAGTTTTGAAATTTGTTACACACCCAATGATATAGAACCCAACTCCGTCATCACATTGTTGGAAAATGTTTGAGACCCGCAAAAGCTCACATAATTCGACTTACAGTTATGTGATGTGATATGTATCATTTTTTGATTTGTTATACACCCAATGATATAGACCCCAATTCTATTACCATATCATTGTGGGTGAATTTATATGTCTTTAGCATTTCTTCCGAATTTATACAAAAATAAAAAAATAGAATTATGGTGTGTAATTTTTCTCAATATATAAATATAAAGCAAATATTATGATAATTCCCCCATCTAAACAAAAAAGACTAAATAATTCACTAAACTAATAAAAAAGCAAAAGAGAATACATATATATACAAATGACTCATTTTATTAATAAATAAATCATACTCGCATAACAAATGACCAATTTTATTAATAAGTTATCATTAAGTCAATTAATATTTTTTAATGATATAAAAAATATCTTTCAATTAACAATTTTGTTAATAAAATAAAGTATTAAGTCAATTAACAATTTTTAATGATATGAGAAATATTTTTCAATGAACAATTTTGATAATTTATTATTGCATAAGAAAGTAATTTTTTTTTCTTGATTATTGTGTTAAATTAAAATTTATAACAAACAATAGTTGTAATTTTTAGTATTATAGGACCTATTCATATTTTAAACATACCTTATGGGTGTATTTGTAATTTGTTAAAAAATAAAAAATTTATGTTGCATAATTGACCAAGAATGTTTGCGTAATTACGGAAAAAAACCTTCACTCAAATTAGTACCCACCAGTATTGCCAAAGAAAAGAGTAAAATGGGAAAATCAACATATAGATCACCATTAGTAAATTATACAAAATAAAAGGGCCAAATAGGGAAAAAAGGACAAGCCATAAGCAGGAAAGAGCTTCTTATATATATAGATATATTGTCGGTCAATTTTGTTTCTTGCATTTACACTCTGCAGTTTGTTGTCGTTGACTCAATTTTCTTGCAGTTGATTGCTACTGCTACTCTTTTTCTGGCTGCAAAGTCTGAGGAGACACCACGCCCTTTGAACGATGTGGTGAGAGCATCATGTGAAACTTTCCACAAGCAGGACATCACTTTCCTCTCCTATCTGCTCCCTGTTGTGAGTATACTTGATTTTTTAATGTTGTTTTGTGAAGCACCATGATTTCTGCATGTACAACTTCATTCCATGAAGAAATGCCATCTTTGTCCAAATGTTTAACTGCCGAGAACATGATATGAGAAAGTGATTTTTGAGAAAATGGAAGTAAAAGGAATGAAAAAAATTGTCTCTCCATCCCACAATGTTGGTCCCTTTTGGACTTCGCACAACCACTTTATAGGTGTCATCTCTCTCTCTCTCTCTCTCTCTCTCACACACACACACACACACACACACATACACACACCGAAAAAAAAAAACAGCAACTTTTGGCATGACCAAATGATATTGCAGATATCTTTCTTTTCTACAGTTCAATAGGGAATGATTGTTTCTTTCTATATGTATACTTAAAAATTTAACTCGAATTAAATTTTTTGACATTTGTGGACCAACTTGTTCATTTTTGAGGATATTCATTTGTTATGCATCAGAAGTTGGCATTCTTTCTGAATTTTAGTTAGTGTGTTGTTCAATATGATTTCCTAACATGGGTCACTTGTTGAATAGGATTGGTTTGAGCAGTATCGAGAACGGGTGATTGAGGCTGAGCAATTGATATTGACAACTCTGGATTTTGAGCTTAACGTACAACATCCATATGCTCCTCTTACATCCATTATCGACAAATTAGGCCTTTCACAATCAGTTTTGGTGAATTTGGCACTGAATTTGATCAGTGAAGGGTAAGTTTCACTTTAATAATTCATGATTTTGTAATAATGCAATTGATACCATGAGTTTTACAACTGCACTGTTTGTTATATTGAATAATTCAGGCAGATTTGAGGGCAATATCAAATAGCAGTATCTAGTGCTTGCCAAAATTTTTACTTGGCTGTGTAGACTATGAATTTTGATAGTATGATTAGGCAATAATCCTGACCGTACTCCCCATTAGACATTTTTTTTTGTTTCGCTGTGCTGCTGTGACTAATCTTATTCAGAAGCCTGCTCAAAATGATGTTTGTAAATAAGGATCAGCTCATCTGGTTATGATTGTTAAATCTGTTTGGAGGTCTGAATTTCAATCAAATTGCAGACTTGCTGAGGTTTGGAGGGCAGTCATGAATATGGAGTATAAGTTGTGTTTTTTTCTTTCTGCATACGTGATTTTTTAAATGCTTCTTATTTGTGTGTTGATGGCTTCGTTCTTTGCTCTTGTGTAATTCCTGTACGTAGTCATTTTGGCATGGGATATTGATTTTTTTGGATTGACAAATAATTGCAGGGTCTATACAAGATTAGCGTGCTCACCTGTTTCATATTCTTAGCTGGCGGATTGATATGCTGTTCATGGAAAGTTTTGTTTTACATCTGAAGTTGAACCACCGATATGTTGTGGATGCCTTTTCATGAAAATATCTTTTAACTTGTTCATTGGCTATAGAAGATAGCCACTGTTGCTACAGAACCATTTTTGCCATCTCACTTTGACTTCTCTGTGGTCCTTTGAAATCAAATCATGTGGCGTTTCATTCAATGTTGCAGCCCCGCTTGGTGTCCATATAGGACACTGTTGAATAGGCAAAAGAAGCCATAGAAAAGGTGTTTGGGTGAGTTTTTGTCATGTCCATTGAGATTTAGCGGATGACCACTCGTTTGATTATTATCAACTACCCAAAGGGGGGATATATGGTCAGGTAGCTAGGGGTTGCCTTTTCTAGAGTCATTCATGTTAATTTTGAAGTTTTGTTCTGTTTCAAAATCATTTGGGGATTTTCACAAAATTAATTTATGGGTATTAATACTATATATTATCGTAGTTGAGTTTCCTATTAAAAAATTTTGGAAATGATTTAAATTGGTTTTGTATTTTGTATATTACCAAAAATCCTTTTATATATGTTAAAAACTTTAGGCCAAATAGTAGGTTGGTGGCATTGATGGAAAGAAAATGACCCATAAAAACTCCCCCACTTTACCGCCACCACACGCACACACATTAAGGAAAGGCTAATGATTTCCACATTACTTTCCATTGAACTAATTTTTTATTGTTTCTCTCTCCCCCACCCCAATGTTCTATATACTAACTAAAGCTAATACACTATGGGTTATGTGTACATGCAGTGGTGAAAGTTATTGCTTAATGTTCATTGAGCGGTGATTATGGAAATTGCAAGAGTTTATGTGCAAGGATTAATTTTTCAGTCATTTTTGCTCCTGATCCATAAGCCCATAAATATACACTTCTGTGCTGTATACCTATGCACTCTCGTGATGTTATCTGTCTAGTGGATACTAGTTGGGCTCATTGTGCATTTTTTTAGTTTCCCCATTTTCTAATTGACCTCTATTTTTGCTCAGCTATTGTCTTGGGTTTGGGACTACATGGACTTTTCAGTTGGTGCCCATCCCTACCCTAATCACTTTGGATGTCAACCTTTGAATCTGCTCCTTTATATTCTTTCCTGATCGTATTTTTCACATCTCTCTCTCTCCCCGTCACTTCTTCCCTCCCTCCCTACTACATGTTTGCTAATTTTATCACCCCTACACTACTACACGAAAATAATAATGTTGTTTCACATGAAATGTTCTTTTCATGCTTTATTACTTTTTGATACTTTGTTTCACAGCTCCTCCCTTATCTTCTTCCCTTTCCTAGGTTTTTGAACTCAATTCTTTGTGGTACTGAGTCATACCAAATTGCGTCAATGTTTGATGATTTTTTTTTCCTTTAGAATTTCTGTTGTCTATGCAAGCATGACTCTTATAGGTTTTTAATTGTGAAAGCGTTGATCAGACGGTCAGAGGTTCATTGGAGAGTGGAAAAACTGGTAAAGGCACTGGATATTCAGAAGAGTGAGAGTGACTGGTAGAGATGAAACACAGAGAGAGAGAGAGAGAGAGGACTTCAATCTCAAAGGAAACTGTATGTTTTGATGTAAGAGGGGTACAACCTTCTATATGTAGAAGGTGAGCACATGTCCTTAGCTGGATGTCTATGTCTCCGAAGCCTTAGGGAAACTGAAACAGCCTAACCTAACTGAATTGTCTCTTAATTAGAAATAAAATTTTCTAGAAATTTCTGAGCAAAGCTGGCAAGGTTTCTCTCTTAGTTGAACAAGCCTGAGGCAGCTTGATCTGCATAGGGGTGTAGCACGAAGCAACTGTCGTGATATTGGAATCATGAGATGCCTGGTATAGCTTGACCTGCAGAATGAAGTTACAGATCTAAGCACACATGAAGTGTTATTGGTTCTTTAATCTTGTTTGGTGTGACCAAACACGTGAACCGCAGGTGTCCCTTGAAGGCTGACAAGTCTATGGGTAAGGCATGTCATTGCTTGTGTCTATGGCACATGGCACTTCAGGAGGTATCTACAGTGATTTTTCTGGGCAGCGGTAGTGTGTTTTAGGGCTCCACAGAGTAAATCAGTAAAAGGATCCTGAGAAATGAATTTCTTAGAATGGAAGGTTTTACTTTGGTCTGATGATGATGTGCTCTACTGTGTGCTTGCTTAATTATCAGAGAACTAATGGTGTAATCTAGTGCTCAATTTTTTTTTTTCGGTGATACTTCTGCTATATGAACTTGAACCATGTTGGGGGTAGGGTGGTAATTTGATGCAAGGGAATTTAAGTGGATTTCAAATTACATAATATTATGGGTTATTGTTATTACCTTCTAATCAACCAATTAATTATTGTTGGTTGATATATGTCAAAAGAATGGGTAATAAAATAAATAGAGTAAGGCCAAGGAGTATATGAGTTGAGGAGATAAGAAAGGACATGATCATGTTAAACTTACTTGATATTAATCTGGATAGAGTTAGCTGGAGAGAATGATCCATGTAGCTGGCCCGAAGTAATTGGGACAAAGGCTTGTTAAGTTGAGTTGTACACGTTAAAAGAGCGGAGTAGTAGTAACATAATAGTGAAGAGATTTCATGTATCTTTAAAGTTTTTGAATTGCATTTGATTTTCTTAAATTGAAGGAATTTTAAAACACTGTGAGACTTACCTAACTAATAAAACTAATTTTATTTACATTATTAAATATACACAAGATATGGAACAACTTAATGAATCATTCTTCCATTTTGTGGGATTTGGGATGTAACACATATTTTCTATGAAAGAATTTAAAGTTTTTTCTATGAAAAAATTTAAAGAATTTAAATTGTTCAGCGAAGGTGGCAACAACAGTGAGGAAGTGGTGATGCTTTTGTTTGTGTGTGTCGATATATATTTATCAATTTTTTGAGTTGTTGAATCAATCTGTGAAACTGAATCTTGAGTATAAATTACACTGTTAAAAGAAAATTCCCACCTGTGGAACTTATTTTGAGTTTATTGGTAAATCAAGTTTCTGAACAAATTTCCTATTTTCGTTTCTAGTGGTAGTATGCTCTATAAAATATACTTTAATAGAAGATTTATCCTAAAAATCTTCCTGATTGTGCACTTAATGGTGTTTTCAAATAACACCTAGTAACAATTTTTATAAGTATGTGATATATTTGTATACATATAATCCTGGAAGCATAAGGGCCATTTGTTGAAAAATATTATTACTATTATTGTTGCCTTAAGGTAAATGCCATGAAATGACACAACCCATATTGATAATGTTTATATTTATTAATTTATATTGCTATTTATTGTATATTATATTGAATTATACTACTATATTCTGCCTCGGTTTGGCATCATGAAGTCAAGACTTCTTTGGTCTAAGCTTTATTAGTTATAATAGTACAGTTCTGCAAAACATGCTGTCTGTGGAAATTGATTTGGAAGATATGATGGCATAGCTACCACCTCGTTTATTTGAAGCACTGTTGCAGGAACCAACTGTATTCACTTGTGAAGCAAACAATTCATATATTTTTTCTGAAAATTTGTATTTTTTTTCTACATTCGCCATTTTAATTTTGGCAGCTAGATTCCAAAATTTTTCACATGGTGGGCATAGCATCATTACTATTATGTATTTTGAACAAACCACCTTTCCACTTTAAATATGTGGTTTTGCATATTTTCTGTGGAGCTCTGTTAGCACTTACTTAAAGGGTAATAATTTCCTTATATTTATATCAGTTATTATTATTATTATTTTTTTTATATTTTTTAATTCCAAAAAACTGTTCAGACTTCACTAAACTACAAATTTAAGGTTTGATAATCTACGGTCCTGTAAATTATTATATTTTTGGTCCAAACCTTTTAAATTTTTGCAGTGTGTATGGTATACAGAAATATGTAATTTTGGGTAAATTATTTCTCTAATAAATACAATGAATATGTGTATTCTCAAGTACGTAGATGTTCATTCATATCTGTAAGCAAATATGCACATTGGCAAGCTTTGCGGATTAAACTATTGAGCAGAAGATATCAGCATTTGCTTTGGGTGGTTTAATGGATCGCAACTGGGCATGGGAGTTGATGTGTTCTGTAGATGGGTATTACATGTTTGCTATAGTTTTGGTACTCTCCCGGCAATTCTCCAGAAGGTTCTTGGGAAATATATCTCCTGGGTTGCTGCTTTGTTAGTTGGTAAGGGAAAATTGCCTTGGCTTGCTTTTCTTACTTGAAGCTTCGATTATATTGTCTTTAGTTTAGCATGGGTTATATGATTGTAATTGTTTGTCGAAGTGTTCCCAATATTTTTTTGAAGCTGATGTTATTTGTGTTAATGCGGCGAGTATGCCATGTAGCCTCTGTTGTACGAGATGTTGCCTCTTCATTTTTGTGTTCCTCCAGATGGGTTTGTTTGATTATCCATTTATTTCTTAACCAACGATAAACAGAGATTGCGTTCTTAATTCCTTTTTATTCTGTACTAAAGTCGGGCATTGTTATGTAGGCTTCGAAGTTCATTGTGGCTTCAATTTAAACCACATCAGATTGCTGCTGGAGCTGCATATCTAGCTGCCAAATATTTAAATATGGATCTTGCTTCATGCCAGAATATATGGATGGAGTTCCAAACGCCGCCAATTATTCTTGAAGGTATTTAACTACAATACGTAAATGTCGCATTCCTTTTTAATAGTTTGTCGACATGCATTCATGAAATTAAACCATTAAATTTGTTAAACTTTTAGAATCCCAACATGCCGTTTTCAAATGGCATCTATCTAATGTGATGTTAAGGATGTTGGAAATGTTTGTCTTTAATTAAAATACACTCTCGAAATTCCATTTAATTGGGTGTTATATCCAACCCTGACCTTGTTGAAATAAAAATCAGAACAATTTCAAGTGGCATTCAAAACTTGAGCCTAACCCAGTATTGGAATAAAAATCAGAACAATTTCAAGTGGCATCCAAACTTGAGCCCAACAATTCAAATTTCAGTATTGGTTTCTGTAATTCTTGTGCTGCATGGAATTGTTAACTCGGCTCACCAAAGCTTTTTTCCATCTTATTTGGGTTTCTATACTAGCAAATGTAAATTAGAAGATTTATGTGTCTAAATTGAGTACGGATGTCCGACACATATCTTACCCTCCTAATTTTGTCATATCCATTGACACAGGTACTATAGGAGAAATAAAAGTCATAACACAGGCTTGATTTGTGTTTCATACGATAATACTCATGTCTCTTGCTCACGCTTATTGATTAGCATTTAACAATATTCGCCAAAATTTTGCTTTTGCTTGATTATGGAACCACATTGTATGAGAATTGTCTTTCCTCATCAATTTATCCCTTACAATTTTGGTTAAATGACAACATTATGGTATTATATGATGCCAGATGTGGCGCAGCAGTTGATGGAGCTATTTTAGAAGATGACTACAGTGGACTTCAGTTCAGCTTGATGGTACATGTTCGCTTTGTGGGTATATATATATAAATACTAGTTCATTGTATTATTGAAGTCTTGGTTGCTATGATTCATAGATCATCAGAGTTTCTAAGGATGTGTACTGTACCCCATGAGAATGCTATACAGGGATAGGATATGTAGTTTCCAATCTTTTAACCAGTACCCTCACTGGCTGTGGATGAATAGATTGAAAAATCTGTAACTTGAATGGTTATGAATGTGCAGTAGGAATGGGCACAAATTTTTATTTTTTTGAAAAACTATTGGTGACTTCAAATGATTATAAAATGTGACCTTTTTTGAGTTTTTTTTGTGGTTGATTTGATCCGGAGCACTTTTTAACTGATTGTAAGAGAACTTGTTTGTTTCAACTGAAAAATTTTCACCCTAATGTACCAATCAAGGTGAGGATAGCCGTCACTTTTTAAATTTTTTTTTTTTCTTTTTTCTTTCTTTGAAAGTGTCATTTTAATTATATTTTTTGAACACCGTGGTTACCAATTACATTTTTTAATTACCAGAACATTATCTGAACCTACTTTTCTCCCCTAGTGTTTGCATTCTAGTAAAAAATTATATTAGCAATAACGTTTTTTATGCTTTTTTAACTGTCATTGTTATTCAGGTTTTAACGTAGTTTATAAATTATATTTATTCATACACTAGTTATTTAATTTTGGATTAAAAAAAAAGTTAGGGTAATTTTACTTTACTTGTGGTATAGATTATCATCAATCATTTTGAAGTAGTTGCATAATTTTTTGGTAATTTGTAGATTGAAGTGTATTCACTGTATTTAGTTTTAATTTTTTAGATTCAATTTTTTGAAAATTAAATTTTTTATTTTTTGTATTTTTTTTTTGTTTTTAGTAAATATTTTTAAAATTTTAAACTATTTTTTTATTTTTTTAGATACATTTTACTTAGGTGTATTTAAAAAATAAAATATTTGTAAAAAAATATTATACTGTTTAAGTATATTTATGTTAGGTGTACTTAAAAAATATATAAAAAAAAATTAAATCAACAAAAAAATATGAAAAATAAAAAATTTAGGATATGTTTGGTTTGTGTTTGAGAGATGTGTTTTAGAGATAAAAAGTATGAAAAGTTGTTTGCTTTGGTTTTTTTCAAAAGATGTTTTGGAAAATTATTTTGAGAGAGAGTTTTGAAAAAAGTGATTGATTTGATGTGTGTGAGAGAGAGATTTGTTTGGAAAACTTGTTTGGTTTACAAGTTTTGAGAAATTTTTTTGAAAAAATTTGTTTGATTTGATTACTTTTAAAAACTTATTTGTAGAAATACAAATCAAACGAACCCTTAATTTTTTAAAATGTAAATTCAAAAAATTCAAATCAAACGTGCTAAGTACTTCATCAAGTTAGTAGTAAGTGCAAAACATTTGTTAAAAAAGGTGAGAATGTTCATGATTTGCGCAGTGACAGTAACCTATGTACCAGGTACTTTAGTGTTTTCGCGCGAGTTATTAACAGCCTTACGAGGGTACTTTAGTGTTTTCGTGCGAGTTATTAACAGACTGAACGATGTGTACTTTACGTCAAGTTTGACATCTTTTAAAAAATTTAAAAAGTTAAAAAGTTATTATCTTATTTAAGTCACATCATTTTATTTAAGTCACATCACCTCTCTAACACATCACTTCAAATCCAACCCAAATTCAACCCATATTTCATAAAAAGTCAAAAAGTGTACTTATTTAGTTTTTCCAAACTTGGCCTTAGTATGAAATTCACGTGAGTTATTTACTTATTTTCAAATACGGTTATGCTACGTAGCTCAAATTTTGTGACTCAAAAGTGGCTCAAATGACCAAAACGACGTCGTTTTGAGTACAGAACAACATAAAAATGGCCAAAACGACGTCGTTTTGGCCATTTGAGCCACTTTTGAGCCACAAAATTTGAATTACGAGACATTTTCCTTTCAAATAATATTAGGAGCTATGCGCACATAAGCCATAATTTGAATAAAGTAAAATTTGTTCAAAAAACTAATCGTCGTTTTGGCCATTTGAGCCACTTTTGAACCACAAAATTTGAATTACGAGACATTTTCCTTTCGAATAATATTAGGAGCTATGCGCACATAAGCCATAATTTGAATAAAGTAAAATTTGTTCAAAAAAACTAATCAAGTCAAAGAGGCCATTCTATAGCCTTGGAAATAGAAAATCTTAAAAAATTTTAGTTTAAATGATGGTTGACATTGAATAGATAGACAGATATGTGATGCGGATAAATATGTGAAATAATAGATGAGTAATTTTTAAATTGTTATTGTGACTTCAAAATATTTACTGTGTTTGGTTTGAGTTTTCTAAGTTAAGTTTTTTGAAAATTGATTTTTTTTATTTTTGTGTTTTTTTATTTTTAGTAAATATTTTTTAAATTTTAAATATTTTTTTTTTACTTTTTTAGATGCACCTTATTTAGATGTATCTAAAAAGTAAAAAAATTGTGAAAAAATATTTTTAAAAATTAATAAATACATAAAAATACAAAAAAATGTACTGAATTCTTATTTTTTTTTTGTATTTTTGGTATTAAGTGAATTTTTAAAATATTTTTTTTACATTTTTTTTACTTTTTAGGTGTATTTATGTTAGGTATGTCTAAAAAGTAAAAAAAATGCTTAAAATATTAAAAAATTCAGCGAAAACAAAAAAACACAAAAAATAAGAAAGTAGAATTTTCTGAAAAGTGTTTTGAAAAACTGGAAACCAAGCAAGGTTAGAATTTAGGATTGTTGTCTAAAAAATTTTAAAATTAGGTGGTGTTTTGAGAAATTAGTAAAAAAACTGACTTTTTGACTTTTTTGACAAAAAACTGGATTGTTTTGGATAAAAAAAAATTAATTTTTTTTGCTAAAAAAGCTAAAAAGTCAAAAAACTGACTTCTTACCCAACTTCCCAAAGTGGTTATCAGTTGATTGACTTTTTAGATAAATGAAATCTCGTTTGTGAATTATAATTTTAGTTAAAAAGTTACTATAAATTGTCACATCATTCTCTTTACTTTTTTACACATCTTTTCATAAAAAAATTAAAAATTACTAAAATAGCATTTCTCAAATGTTAGTAACATTATGAGACCTCAACTACATATTTTAGTTAAAAAGTCACTATAAGTTATCATATTACTCTCTACTTTTCTGCATATCTTTCCCCACCTTTTATGTGAAATTATGTTAAAATAAAATGCTTCATTATTAACGTAAGCCATTTAATGCACGTCTCTTAAAACAAATTACTTGTCCAACCGTGCTGGGACCCAGTAGGGGCGACCCCAGCACCCCAGTGTCACTTGTCTTGCTAAGAAAGCAAGACTTGAAAAAAAAAATAAATAAATAAAAAATTGGGCCAATCAAAATCTAATGGGGGTGATGGGGTACACCTCATTGGGAGTCTGGGGCAATTTCCTTACTTTTCGAACATGACAAAATTATGAACCGAAGAGTTTTATAACGTTAAAAGCATTCACACCTGAAATAAAATCGTTTTTTGCTGTAAATCTACAGACATGCTATTAGAAAGTCATAACAAAAAAATATTTCAACAAATGTCCCCAATCCATGAAAAAAAATTCACTATACACACCATTTCTAAATGCCCCTTCTAATTTATATTAGTATAAATTATAAATATCTTGAAATTTATTTAAATTACGGATAATTCCTTGTAGTTTTGAAAATACAAATATTCTATTGTTAGAATTTTTTATTTAACAGATTAACAAAAAAAAAAAAATTCTAACTAGTTTCCTATATAACAATAAAATTATTTGAATTGTTAATTAAAATATATTTTTGACATTATTAATAGCAATTAATTGACTTGATGATTTATTAATAAAATGTGAAATTTGTTATGTAATTAGAAACTTGAAAAAGTAAGATATAATTTTCAAAAACATAAGGGACAATTTATATTTTAAATAAATCTCATAAAATATATTTATATTTTACGTTTTATATTAATATAAAAGACACATTATATCAATTTATTATTTTTCTTTATTGATTTTAAAATTATTTAAGATATATTATAATTATCCATCATTTTTTATTTTATTCTATTTTAAAAGTAGAATCTTATGTTTTTCAATTCAATTTGACGATTCGAACCGTAAATATCTCTTGTCAATTTCAACTAAGATTATGATGTTAACAACCTTCCACTTGCCAAATAGCTCAAGAATTCTCCAAGCATTTGGACATGCTCCAAAACATGAATGGCACTCTCACTTACTCCTAGTCCTCCATTATTGAATAGGACAATTCTATATTATAAAGATGAAAAAGGTAAGGCTTTGAATCTTATTCGAGAGTAGGAACCATGAATAATTAATTAGCACAAGAAGAATGCGGTGAATCCCTAAAATAATTACTTAAATGGTTAGGCCTCACTATTCCATCCATAATAGTACATCTCTCTCTCTCTCTCAATAAAGAAAATTATATAATATGATATTTATATCATTCATTGACATGAGATCTATATATAAACATTATTCACACCATTGGATTCATGTATAGCTTTGACTAGTTCTAGTCGGAGAGAGAACGTGCAATTTAATAGCTTTAGAGGTGTGAGATTCATTATAAATTTTATTTTAATGATTCAAAATGTTTTCTTTTTACTCTCGTTTGTAAATTATTATTCACGAAAAAATCAATTTATTTTGATAATTATAGCTTCATAATTTCAACAGAATTGTCTAAAAAAAAAAAAAGTGAATTACAGTAACAGTCCTATAGTTTGGGATTGTCACTTTGATTCCTGACTTTTCAATTGTGACATATTTAATCTTGAATTTTGAATCTTATTTTAAATAAAGACAATTGAAGATACCATTGCTTAATTTCAATGACAAAATTATTAATTTGATAAAATATAAATTAATTTGAAAAATAAATATCAAAAAAATATTTTTGAATTTTTAAAATTATTTCTACCCACTAAAGATAAAATTATGTAAAATTGATAAAACTTTTAAACATTTATTTATTTATTTATTTATACCAAATTAATTTTTATTATGTGTTTGGATAATGATTATATAGTGGGTGATTGTTTTTATTTTTATTAAATTAGTTTCTATTTTTTCAAAGGTCAAATATGGTGACAACTTTAATATCGTTATTAAACCAATCCATTAAATCAAAAAATCCAAAATTAAAAACATTTCATATATTAAATATACTGATTACACATTAAAATTTTAACAACCACTTATTGCATGATTATTATCCAAACATATAATAAAAATAAATAAATAAATAAATGTCAAAT